TTCCACACAGAGCCTCGAATAGGACAACTCCAAATGAGTAGACATCAGATTTCTCAGTCAATTGTTGCCTCCTAAAGTATTCAGGATCCAAGTAACCAAAGCTGCCCTTCACCACTGTACTAACATGGCCCTTGTCCATATCAGGACCGGTTTTCGAGAGCCCAAAATCAGAAACCTTGGCAACCCAGTTCTCATCCAACAGAATGTTTGTGCTCTTGACATCCCTGTGAATGATTGTGTACTTAGCCCCAGTGTGAAGGTAGTGAAGTCCCCTTGCTGCTCCAATACAAACCTCCAACCGTTGCTTCCATGACAGACGAGGTTTCTTGGTATTGTAAAGATGCTCCCTCATAGTTCCAAGTGCCATGTAGTCATAAACCAGGCACATCTCACCATCTTCATCACAGAAACCGATCAGTGAGACCAAATGCTTGTGTCTCAACTTCGAAAGCATCTCAATCTCAGTCATGAACTCATTAACTCCTTGTTCTGATTGTGGATTTGATCTTTTAATGGCCACTTTGGTTGCTTGATCTATAACACCTTTATACACCTTACCGAATCCTCCAACACCAATGACATTAGACTCATCAAAATTCTTGGTTGCCCTTTGCATCTCTGGAAGCGTAAAATGGCGACAAAGACCTTGAGCCAGTGTTGAAAGGTGACTGCTTTGAGAACTCTTGCCAGAGATTGATGATTTGCTTACAGTATGGGAATTTCCATAGACTGGTAGCCAGGTGGATGTATGTGAATCAAAGCCAGGAATTCTCTTAGTCCTTTGGTAAACAGCAACGCAAACTACAGCAAACAACAAAGCGCCAACTCCACCAACAGTTCCCATCACAGCTTTACTGTCTGTCTTAAATGCCTTAAGGCTAGCTTTAGCCATGTGATTAGCAAGCATTTCTGATAACACAGGGTTATGACCTGCCAAGTTGTTGTTCCTGTCACTCATCTTGAATATCTCTATTCCATTGAGTGACGCGTCATAAAATTCAGGTTTCGAAGAGGTTGATGGATGCAAGTCCACCCGAATTTCTTCATCGCCTTCCCTGTCCTTGACAAAAACTGCGTAGTCTTTATATGATGGCACTCCCTTTTCTCCTGTCCACCCAATAATATCGGCTGCATTAGGATCAGCCTGGGCAGTTTGATTGTTGATGTAAATGTTAAAGACTTTCTGATTGACTTTGCTTAATTGGAACTCGCAGAAATGCAGCCTCACAACATATGTGAAATTGGCATCAGCCTGAAACAACCATGTCAAATTGAATTTCATGTTGAGGTCCTTGTTATATCCCATACTTCTTGCCGTTCTGTAAACATCAGGTGGTGCTACAGACTCTGCCAATTCTCCATACCGGACTTCAAAGCTTTCATTACTCTGCAAATTAACCCCAGTTGCCGCACTAAATAAATATGGCGCATCATTATACCAGGTTCTTGTAAGATTACCGGAGTCTTTGGTTGGTGAAATATACTGCCCTGCTACATTCAATCTATACATTGTCTGCAAATTTCCATCCGTGGCGTCAAAAGTTTGGTCAGAAAACCCCACCATTGTCCCTGATCCAAAGAGATCAGGGATTGGAACCAACTCTATAGCATTGATAAAAGCAAAAGCCTCAGGCTTATCTGCTGGTTTAAAGGTGAGATTGAGAATATGAGAATTCATGGGAGCTAGAGAATACTCTTTAACGAGGTAAGCCTGAGTGAGAGCCTGCGCTGTAATCGAAGCACTGAAATTGTTCAGGAGAGTAATCCCTCCTGCGACGACAGAGAAATAGGAGTCTGATATATTGAGGCCAGAATATTCAGAAGGATAAAAGGAGAGCCTGAGCCAATAACGCGTTTTCTCTGTGATAGGGAGGTTATAGGTTGCTTCGGATGTGAAAATCCTGGCATCCATGTATGGAACCTCAGAAACAATTGAAGAATCTTGGTATTGAGCTCTGGCTTGTGGATGATTTCCAGTGATGTATTTGACATCCGATTCCCATTTTCTCCCGTCACCATCCGTGCCACCATTTTCTGATCCACAGTTCAAAGACAAGCTCTGTGGCTGAGGCCCAATACCGGACACATAAAGGGCATTGAAAAGAAGAGTGAAACAAGCTAAAGAAAACAAAAAATAAATATTAGCATGCATGGCTGAAAAGAAATGGACAGGGAGGGCATGCATTAGGGCGTACAGGAAAGAAGGAACAGTTTTTTCCTGTACACCGGGACTATTTGTTTTTCTTTCTGAATGTTTATGGAGGGTTAGCTAGCCTAAGCCGTCTTTAATCTCTCATGGAGACTCATGCCTGGATCAGAGGGGATCAAACCAGGCAAGAAGAGGTGATGAAACTTTCTAAGAGTTCTTTTCTTCTCTCTTCCTTTTGGGGCGCTAAACATCCATTGTACGGAACTGGCAGGTTGTTGGAAACTGATGAAGGGGAGAAAGAATCGTTGATTCTATTGCTTTGATTGGTTCTAAGACAATGCTATATTTAGCATTTGTAAGTTGAGTTCTCTAGGGCTTGATGCCCTTGGGACAGTTGTTTCAGGTTGTCGAAAGAGCCACTGAGCTAAATTGCATAAAAATCAGAACCAAGCATATTTTGCTTATAATTCAGACAACTGTCTTGAGTAGCTGACAAGCCCTCAGATTTTCATGCCGCATAAGAATCTGCTGGATTGCCAAATATGTGTCTCTGTAAATATATCAGAAAAATGGCTAGCCTTCTAGCGGGTCTCGACTCTCGAGGTTTAACGACATTGCACAGCAAGAACATAAACAAACCTAAAATGTTATTTAGAAAGATGCATGGATGTGACTCTTAACCCATAATTTTTGTGATCATAAGGGCTGATAACTTATCTAAGCTAGAAATTATACTTTATTATAAGGTAATTATAAGGTTTGATGGCGGTAATACTTTCCCTTTTACCTCTTCTGCTTCTTACTCTTCCCTTCCTTCCTTCTCTCTTCAAGGATAGAGATTTGTCATTGACGGTTCGTACACTCTGAATTACTATATTTTTTTTCCTTGGCGTTGATTTGCCAACGGAATTATTAAAAAAAAAATCCTTGATTAAAAAATCTAAATTTATAATGTTCCGATCCAATTTAATTAGAAACCTGGCTCCGGATAAATTTGAGTCATGAGTTTTTTAATTTAACAAATTAAAAATATATATTTTATATCAATATATATAGTTGGATTTACAAAATTAACCCAAAAAAACCTCTCTAATTCATAAATAACAAATACTAAAAGATTAAGAAAATATCAAATGAAGGTATTAAAACAAAAACTAAAAAAAATAAAAAAATCATCATGTATGTACATAATTTACTGTGGATTTTCACAATAAAATTATCATTTTACCCTCTATAATAAAAATAATATAACTTGTTTATAAAGACAAAATTATTTTTTTTATGAGATCCATTTATCATTATTATATTGAGTGGGGGTAGAAAGATCTTTTATTAAATTTGTATATTTATTTAGGTAGAGGTATTTTTGGTTTTCTATCTTTATTAACACAGTGGAATTACCAAGGTACACTTATAAGCACAAAAAAATAATAATCTACATCTTAGATAAAGGGGTTTTTTGATTTTTGATTATGGTTTTTTCATTAATATTACGTGAGGTTACAGGGGCACTTAAATTTTTTGATAAACTAAATAAAATAATTATTGGTATGTGTAGTGCACACACCCGCATATAGAAAACATCTGTACTCTTTAAATGATATGTGCGATGCATTTTAGACGCCAACTGTTATATTCACTAACAGATTACGTGGAGGCGCATCCAAAAAAATAACACATGTAAAGCGTCTCGTAATATTTAAAAATTGAATTCTTTTCCGCCTTCTTTAGCTAGAATTATAGGTTGTCCCCCATCTTCTTCTTATTTTAATTTTGACATTTATTTTTTGATTGCTTTTTATTTATTTGAATTCTATTTTTGATTAATTTTGATTTTTGATTTTATTATTTAACATTTTGTTCTGCTTGATATTTATATCAAATTTAATTCTTATTCTTTTTATTATTCTTTTTTAATTTATTTTTCAATTTTATATCAAGTTTTGCCTTTATTCTTGTAATTTTTTAATTTTTGTATTGTTTTTTTTTTAAAATTGGTTCTCTATGTTTTTTTTTTTAAATTCATACTTTAATATTTAATTTGTTTACAATTGAATTTCATTAATTATTTCGGTGTGATGATCCCAGTCTTATAACTTGAGTCATGAGTATAAGATTTTAACCTGCATTAATATTGGTTTTTTATGTCTTTTTTTACAACAATTTTATTTTTTGACTTCATAATTTAACATCAATTTTGTTAAAAATTAAGTTTTATTTATTTATTTTTCTTTCTATGATAACAACTTGGTCTCATAATCTACGTCACACATTTATCATAATAGCTTGAATTGGCTTAGAGCTTTTACATCTTTATTATTATTATTATTATTATTATGTAAAATTTGTTCATAATTGATTTTTTTTTTATTTTAAGCCTTCAGCAGTAGATGGATGAAGATTGAGTTTTATTATTTTTTTCGATGCAGTTATTCTTATCTTATGACTTGGATCATAGATATGAAATATTAGCTTGAGTTGATATTAGTTTTTATTTTTATTTTTTTATACTTATTTTTTTTTTTAATTTCAACATTCAACTTTAAATTTATTTTTTTCTATATATTTTTTATGAAAATATCCTTGCTTCATGATGTAGATTATAAATTTTTTATTTAATTTGGATGGGGTCAGAGCTTTTTTTTTTTCATTTTCTTTTCATCTTCATCTTTTAGGAGTGTCTGTGTATATATATATATATATAATTCTAAAATACACTAACAACATTTTACCATTGTTTTTTAAAGTTATAAAAAAAAAATCAAGTCGGTACACGCCAAAACGGATGCGATCTATCTAGTTGATAACAAAAATGAAGTGGATGTCAGTAACAAAAATATATTTTCTGTTGGTGACATTACAGAGGAATGTATAAGGCGACAATCATAACACACAGAGAGGCAGAGTAGCTACATGCTAAGAATATGTGAATATGTAGCTAGGATAGTAACTCATCGAATCCTCCAAAATAGACAACACAAAACCAAAAATGGCCAGCACAGCCTCCAAATTTAACTAAAAAGTCCGGTAAATGACAGTTATAAATAAATGGCTAGCAAATCCTCCCAACGGATAGGCGTGACAGTCGCCCTCCTCCCCCCCCATTTTCCTGTGTGCTCTCTCCTCTCACCCATTGAAGCCTTCTCAATCAAATCCAGCTTCACCTGGTGTGGTTGGTTCCTTTTTGAAAATACTTGGAGAAGAGCATTTCCATAACTTTTCAGAGACGCCCCCGCCCCTGTCCCGCATTGCTCCCATTTGGTGGTAGAGCGACAGTTTCCTTCTGTCGCTGCTGCCTCAATATCGTTTTGCCCACTTGCCGTGCCTGCACTCCCTCACCTGACATTTATAGAATGAAGAACTGTCATGAGCCTAAGGCTCAGAAGGTGAATATTCTATCGTCTTCGTCGTCTTCATTGCCATCATTGAACTCCTCAGATTCCGAAGATTTGGAGCGCATGCCATTGGCACCACTTGTATTGAAAAACAAGAAACTATTGTCCAAGCAACTCTCAATGTGCGAGACTCGACGTGACAGAGCGTGGGAGAGACGCCGCCGCCAAATACTAGTGCAAGAGAGGAGAAAGAGCGGGCTGCTAGAATCTGATGACTTGACAGATGAAGACTTGCATGAGCTTAAAGGGTGTATAGAGCTTGGATTTGGATTTAAAGAGGAAGAGGGCAATCAATTGACCAATACATTGCCAGCATTGGATCTCTATTTTGCAGTTAACCGGCAACTCTCACCAAGTCCGGTGTCCACACCGCAAAGTGGCGACTTATCTTCTTCATCATCTTCAGCAATGGGCACACGTTCATCTTCATTTGGGAGCCCCATGAGTGATCCAGACTGGAAAATATGCAGCCCAGGTAAAGTTTCCATATCCTGATCAGCATTACTAATTGCATTTCGTCACTTTTGATTATCATTATTAGAAAAAAATTGAACTTACGAATTAACCAGCCATTTCAAATTTAATTTCATATACTTCGGAAAAAATAAGAAGAAAGATTTTCTGTATTCAAGTACAGAATTACACGAAGCTGGACATTTCTGATTATCTGCATGCAGGTGATGATCCAAAGCAGGTTAAGACCAAGTTAAGGCACTGGGCACAAGCTGTAGCTTGTTCAGTCATGCAGTCTTATTGATCAAAGTGCGGGATAAATTGTACAGAGCTAGAGAGAGAGAGAAAAAAAAAAATTCAGAAAGAGAAAGGAGAGGGAGGGCTGGCTTAAATTTTCACTAGGTATTGATAGAATTTACTACCAATATAGAGGCCAACAAACATGGGGTGACATTGATTATGGGTTCTTCTACAAGGCCAGTGGAGTAGTTGTTCATTGGTTCTTGATAACTTGGTTAGAGATTGACTCATTTCTGTTTTATTTCTTCTTCTTTTTTTATCAGAGTTTCCATGAAGCATGCAAATTTCATTATTTGCTGTTGGAAACAGAGCCTATAGAAACTGTAATTTGGCCTCTTTTTTTATATGGAAATTCAAATTGAAGGCATGCCTCTCCTGTTACATCCCCATTGATGACTACACAGTTACTCCTGTACATAATTCTTTATCTTCTTGGATGATATGCATGCGTTCATCATGGCTTGCCATGCATAAGAGTTCGAAGCCAAGGATAATTAATTGTATTTCTTCGAAGAAAATATGGATATTTACGAGAGGTTTTATACTGTTTGAAGCATTGATAAAGAAATATATTTGAATATTTTATTTTTGTGTATTTTTTTAGTTTGAAAATATATTAAAATAATATTTTTTATTTTTTAAATTTTATTTTGAGATTAACATATCAAAATAATTTAAAATTAAGCTAATTTTTTTTTTAAAATCAACTACATGACTAAACTAAACTTTAATGACAAACGGTGCCCTTAATTGTAACCCAAACATCTTAGGGAGTGCTTTTTATTTTCACTTTTAAAAAAATTTAATTTTTTTTTGTTTTGAATTAATATATTTTTAATATTTTTAAATAATTTTAATGTGTTAATTTTAAAAATAATTTTTTAAAAATAAAAAATATTATTAACATACTTTTATAAGTGAAAAACACTTTAAAAAATAAACACAAACATACTTAATCTCTGTAAAAAATATGTGTTTAATATTGTAGTTTATAGTATTTTTTTTAAAAATTAATTTAAAAATATATCAAAATAATTTTTTTATATTTTATTTTTATTTTTATATCATCACATCAAAATCATCAAAAAAAAATAATTTAAAATACATTAATTTGATATTTTTTTAAAATAAAACACACTTTTTAAACATAACCAGAAACAAAAATTATCATACTTCCAAACATTCACTAATTCCAAATACCCCCGAACCTAAACTTAGGATCCTAGACTCAACTTCGTTACCACCTAACCTAATTAGTGACTTGAGTATTGAGATTTACTGAGTCCTATAACTATAACTAAAACATGTCCAGCTCATCCAAAGCAATCCTGCCCCAAATAACATAAAAAGGATGTTGTTTGGAGGAAATCTCTCTCTATCCTTTGTAAAACGTGGACTGCCCTGCAATAGTCCATAGATTATTCTGGTGGCAACGTGATTCATTTTTCTTCAGGCGTAGCCAGTTACACACCATATTGGGTAAAACTTGAGCATATAACCCTGCAGTTTTTTTTGTTTTTAAATTCATAATATGCAATAAATGATCAAATTACCTCCCAAATCACAAACCAAGGCACTAACCAATAGCAACACCGTGGAAAGCCAACACAAAAAGCATAGAAGCAGTGCATGGGAAAAAAGAGAGAGGGAGAGGGATAAGAAACCTTCTCTCAGGCCTTTTGACAAACACCAAAGGTGCAAGCATGAAACAGCACAATGCTCAAGAAACCCTGGGATGTACAACAAAACAAAGAACCATCTTCGGACGTAAAAAGCCAAAAAGAAGAAGCAATAACAGAAAGAAAATCAGCAGAGGGCAACCAGACACAGGAGAACCACACAAAGCACCTAAAAGAAAGAGAACCTGTAAGAAAAAAACACCAGCTAGAAGCAGCAGAGGCAAAAAACAGGTTCAAGCAGAATAACCATAGCAAATGAGAGAACCAGGGAAAAAAGACAACCATAACAGAAGAGAGATGATGCAATGCAAAATATGGGAGATAATCCAAAAAAATATAATCTTTTATACCCCAAACTCTCCCGGCACTCAAATGCACCATTGACAATAAAAAAAAAAAAGGAAAAAAAAGCCAATCACACACAAAACCCATAGAAGTGAAAGTTCCAAAGCCCCACAAAATAGAAAACCAACCAGAAGGGTTCTAGTTACTTATCTAGCTGCATCCAGACGAAATCGCAACGGCACCCAAGGCCAAAGAAGCAACAACAACCGGAGAGACCTGCAAGAGCAACAAACAAAGTCAGAATCCACTAACCCAACCACAACTCTCCCAAATGCACAAGAGATAACAACTAAAAAAAGGATAAAAAAATAGAATCAAAATGACAACGCAGGAGACCCATCATAAAGTACCAGAAACATGAGAAGAAATAGAATCAAACCTCTCACGAGATCAAATGAAATTTTGCGCGAGAAACACTGTTTGAGTCCAGTAAAATCACTCACAGTGCATGGTAAATCTTTTTTTTTTTTAAAAAAATTAACTTAATATGTTGAGGTGTTATTAATATATTTTAGTAGAAAAAAATTAAAGATGTAATATTTAATATAAAAACATTTTAGTTATCGAATAAGAAGTAATGGTAAGACTATAAATAATTAAATATTTTTTATTGATTTTTTATATATAATACTAAATATTAGTGGGTGTATAAAATTTATAATATAAAATATAATTTTTTAAAGCATGATAGACCAGTGTAATTTTGACTTAAGGTAATTTTCCCAAATATTTTATAGTTTAAGTATTTGTTTTTTATACGAATAAAAACGGAGAACCCCGGTGGTAAGCTGTGAACCCTGCTTGGGAGTCTTTCACTTCTCCTTTCTTTTCGCTCTGCAAGCAAAGCATAAACTCCGGAATCATCTGCTTGTTGTCTTTGCGGTGCACAACAGTACACTTTTAAGGTTATTGAAACAAGTTATCTGTGAAATTTACTATGGCTTCTGATGCACTTGCAGGTCACGTATCTCTCCCCCTCTCTTTTATCAGTGTTTTTTTTTTTTTTTTTGTAGTGTAAACACAAGAAGCTATAGAGATGCAAAACTGTTTGATTTCGGAGAATTTAGCGATATCTTTTATAAGGGTTCTCTTTTTGTCTCGATGCAAGTTCGTGAATTTGTTTATCTTCGATTGTGAGTGACTGCAGTGAGGCAGAAAGTTCAGCAATTTCTTACTGCTGCTTGTATTGGAAATCTTGATCTTCTTAAGAGTAAGTTCTTTTCTTTACTTTTCATTCTTTGGGCTTACATTGACTTTTGGTGGAGAAGGTTCCTATGCATTTGTATTTTTGTTGTTTGGGATCTTTTTTGTGTGTAAATGTTTAATTTTGATGGTTGGGGTTTGGTTAAACAGATATAGCAGCACAGCTTGATGAAGGGCAGGGAATGTCAAAAACTGTGGCAGAAATCAAGGATGCTAATAAACGAGGGGCACTTCATTTTGCGGCAAGAGAAGCACAGACTGAGGTTTGCAAGTATTTGATTGAGGAATTGAAGCTTGATGTTGATACCAAAGATGAAGATGGTATATATATTTTTTTATCCAAATTGTTCCTCCTTATGGTGTTGAGAATACTCCTTCCTTATTGTTCGTGAGAATCCCTTAATCTTATTTAATTGAGCAACCAGGGCACTGTTTTGCTTGAGATAAATGAAGCTGGACTGGTACGCATTAGGGAGACCAGCTTTTGATTTGACTGGCCGTGTAATAGAGTAATATGAGGATTCATATGTATTTTTTTAGATATCAACTTTGCAGGGACAAGTTTTTGAATATTCTGTTGCTAGGAGAAAATTTATAAAAATTCTTATCAATCCTGATCCTGGTCTAGTAGTTTCGTTTGGGTATCACTGTTGGTGGATGTTCGTTTAGATAGTGGAACATAGTGAGCTGGCAGCTTGGCTGTTTGATTGGGTGCTTAGTGAATTTAATTCTCTTGGTTGTATTGTTTATTGTTTATGTATATTCAGAAGTAGTACATGAACACATTTTCAAAGCTCTACAAGTTTTACCATTTTCATCATTGAACATGGTAAAGCTATGAAAGGAATAAGGTCTTGAAAAGTGCTGTTAGATTAACTTCTCTGTGATTGGACACCTAAAAGAAACTGAAGAGAAGAAGAGCACCATATGTATCAGGGACACTGAAAAAATGTATGACAATAAATTGGGGCATGGACAAAAAGTTGAAATCTTTCTCCTTTCATCTGCTTATTTGAAAACTAAAGTGAAACCATGTTCTTATGATTTACATTTATGTTTGCATCTCTTTACATGTTTTTTTTTTCAAAAATTTAGATGGCATGCATTTGTCAGTTGCAGTTACCAGTATCTTGCTGTTATAGATCATCTCAAGGAACTTGTTACCATATGCAGGTGAGACTCCTCTTGTTCATGCTGCCCGGCAAGGACATACTGCCACTGCTAAATACCTACTCGACCAGGGTGCCAATCCTGCTATACCAAGTGATTTAGGGGCCACAGCATTGCACCATTCTGCAGGAATAGGTATGTTTGCGGTTTAATGGGGGCAAGTCTTCTGCCTTTGCGTGGTTATGTTGCGTGCATGATCTTTCTAATGATATGCACTGTCATGCTTAATGCAGAAATATCAATTTTATTCCTAGATACATTCCATCTGCCGCTTCTATTGAGATTTTTGCTTCAGTGCTTTGCATGCTTCTTTGCAGGAAATACTGAGTTGATGGAGTATTTGCTTTCTAAGGGTGCTGAGGTTGAATCACAAAGTGATGCTGGCACTCCTTTACTCTGGGCTGCTGGGCATGGTCAACTGGATGCTTTGAAAGTGTTGCTGGAGCACCATGCAAATGTAAACCCTCCCCTCCCTCCCTATTAATTTATTTACTATCATATTAATGAATGCCAAATTTTAAGAGCAAATCAGAGAGAGCGAGTTACAGCTATGAATTGTGTGTAGTGAGTGAAGCCATTTGAAATTTGGCAGATGCGACAATCCAAATTGAACATGCAAAATTATGGCTGCCTAAATTGATACTTGACAATCTATATTGAACATGTATAATTGTGTCAAAAAGCCAGCCCGCTACTAGTATCGAAGTTTTTGGGTAACAATTATCACATCCTTTTTCTTTGGGTAGTTATTCATGTAAAGAATATTCCAACAGGTTATTTGCTATGTTCCAGCACTTCTACAAATTTATTTGAATATTTTTTTATTCAAGACAAGCTTTTATCTTTCTCTTGATTGTTTTTCTATGGTGTTATTTATATTTTTTGACATTCTTTTGCAGCCTAATGCTGCAACTGAAGATGATGTAACTCCATTGCTATCAGCTGTAGCAGCTGGTTCATTAGCATGCCTAGAGTTGTTGGTTCAGGTATCTCCGTCCTCTGATTATGTTTTGTAAATTTTTCATCTTCTCTGGGGTGCCTTTATATGCAACATATTAGACCACTTGTTTTCCCCAGCATTTGAAAAAACCTAACTTCAAAAAAAAAAAAAAACACTAGGTTTTTCTTAACTAAACAATTTTGCACGTTAACAGCAAAGAGTTTTAAAATGAGTTAATTTCATATGTAGACATCTTTAATACCTTTTGATGGTAGTGATTATTTTTCCTTCATGAGTGAAATCATGAAAAAAAAAATTTGTACGTTTAAAATTCACATATATATTTTTTTTAACTATAATGGAAAACAACAATGGTGCAAACAACAACAGGTGGTGTGGCTTGCAGAGGTGTTTCATTCAAATGGATCATAATTACAGGGGGCAAAGTGAATATGGCTCCAGCCAAGTAGTGGTTCTATTTCCGTTAAATCACTTACTACTTTGCATATGGTTGTTAAATTTCTTGAATTTAGTGACTGTGTCACTGGTTTTGCTAGCAATTTACACAGTGAACCGGATATTTCCATAAACCAAAGCTTGGGAATTTTGTTCTGGAGATCATGTCTTTTGGTGCTGAAGCATCTTTTATCTTATTTTTTATGTTTATGTGCATATCACTTTGCGCCATTTTATGGCTCTGACTTCTGTGTTATCTTGTGTGCAGGCTGGTGCTGACGTGAATGTGACTGCTGGTGGAGCAACACCACTGCACATTGCTGCTGATTTAGGAAGCCCAGAAATTTTGAACCGTTTATTAGAAGCTGGAGCTGATTCTAATGTCACTGATGAGGTGAGGCTGTTACTGCATTCAGTTATTTGAGGGAGAACTGCTTTCTTTACAGTGTTATCTCTTGTTTGTCTATATGATTTTACAAGTTGGGGTTCTCTCTTTGATGTATATTATCATTTATTTTGATTTTGAATACTTTCTTATGGTTGAGTTTAAAGCAGAAATGGAGTAGTGCCAGATTGCCTCCATAAATTCAGCGTTTCTCCTATTCCCTTGTATTTCTATCATATCAATCAATGACTAAATGTATTTTTCCATAGAAATTTCCTAAGATCTTAATGTTGCTATTTCATGGTAAATGTTATTCATGGGAAAAAAAAAAATGTATATGGTGGTCACTTTCATGTAATTATTGTTCACCTTTATTTTTTACTGTGAATGGTTATGAATTTTCTTTGCTTCCCAGGATGGTCAGAAACCAATACAGGTTGCTGCTGCAAGAGGCAACCGTGAAGCTGTTGAGATCCTCTTCCCCTTAACAACAAAAGTTCAGAGCATTCGTGAGTGGACTGTTGATGGAATTCTTGCACACATGCTGTCTGAAGCTAATAAAGAGGTATTAAGATCCTTAAAGATTTGTTATGAACTTTATAAGACTTAAGGTCTCCGACTTTTCCTAAACCACAAATACATGTGCTCCATCTGCTGTCACTATCTAACAACTACTAATTTACATTTTTCTGTGTCACAATGAGGGGGTCAAAGTTTTGAGTACATCCATACTCACATGAGGATTCGTGGTGCTATTTATGAATGAACTCTTGATCTGTTGTGCATCCGGACACATTTTCTATTGCCAAGAAAACGAGATTATAAAAGGGAGATTTTTTGCTAAAAAGGGAGAAATAACAAGTGGATAACAGACTAACTTGACCAGATATTGTTATTCTACTCGCAGCTAATTTCATTTTACCCTTGGTAGTTTCTGTTATTAATCCCCTTTTTTGGATTGGAAATTCTTCGCAGGAAGAAACTAGGATAGTGAAGGAAATTGATGCTTCTGAGAACATGGATATGCCTAAAAGAGATCTCCCTGAGGTACCACTTATGCTATAATTTAATTTTCTTGCCAGTTATGTGCTGCTTTTGTTCTGATTTTCATGTCAGGATGCTTTATTGAGTTATTCCTTGACAATGGATCTTTTTTCCTTGCTCTAGTACCACTGACAAGCTTACAATTACCAGTTACATGCAGCTCCCTCTCATTTGGTCCAATCATGTTAGAATTCAGTGTTGTTTCACCTGTATAATTGCAGTCATCCATAAAAGATATTTCTAATGATAAACAGTTGGTTAATTTGTGTGAAATTGTTTTTATTTT